TTTGCTAATATATTTTTGCATTAAGGACTGCAATGAAACAATTCGGTCAATTGTTGAACAATCAGCCCTGAAACCAGCCTGTGATTCAGTGATGATATCATGAACCTCACACCATCGTTGAAGGCGACGATTAAGAATAGACATAAACACTTTACAAGTAGAATCTATGAGATAAATTCCTCTGTAATTATTAGTATCATCTCTGCAACTAGATTTATGAACAGGACAAATAATGATTTTACCCCAACAAGATGGAAATTGAGCCCTATCAAGAATATGATTAAACAGCTGAGTAAGATATGGTACAATGAGATGACTAGAAGCCTTTAAGAATTCAGCAGCAACACCATCTGGCCCTGGAGATTTATTATCAGCGGAATTAACTATCTGACGTGAAACTTCCTGTTGAGTAATAGGATCATCAAGCCCTCCTGATCTCTGAGTTGACAAATAAACATCACTGTCCTCATCTGAAAGACAAGACCCATCTTGATCTGCACCAAGTAAAGACATAAAGTGACTAATCCCATGCTAATTAGTTGTAGGCTGAGAAACACCACTGGACGAATAACACTTTTTCAAAATCCTCCCAAAATAACTTAGAATCCTTACTAGCAGCTACCAGCTTGTCCTTTTGTTTACAGAAATAGGCTTCCTTCTTCGCTCTGAAAACATGTTTACAACAATTTCTAAAACACCTGAAAATATCCAGACTTTGATTAAAATCTCTATGAGCTCTGAGAGCCTTGTGCTTATCATGCTTTAACTCCTCTAATTCTTGATCCCACCATGGAGGCTGCTCCCTGTCACTATCAACTTTACACACAGGAGGGTACACACTTTTAGTGTGGGCCGCAGCATGATGAAGTAACTTTACAAACGTAGATACAGAGTCATCAACACATGTATTCAATAGGTGTAACAAATCACCAAGAGATTTAGCAAATAAATACGCAAAGTATGTGATAAACGTATTTTCTGTGTCCTTTGACCATACATATTTGATCCATGTTTCCTTTACTTCATCAGACACAGTGTCATTAGCCCTACTGTCAGTGTCAGTGTCAGTGTCATCAGCCCTAGTAGTATACAAAATAATGGTTCTATTACAGGCCCACTAACAGCGCCATTATATGCCAACTCTGCTCCCAGCCCTCAGTATAAATGAACAGTTTTGAACAGAGACATCACTCAATGTACAGCCGCCCTCAGTTTTGCCCGACATGCTCCCCTAATGGCAGTGGGGGGTTCTATCACAGGCCCGCTAAGAGCATCATTATATGCCAACTCCGCCCCCAGCCCAATGTATAAATTAACGATTTCGGGCAGAGACATCATTCGATGACCCTACAAACTAACCTTTTTTAGCAACTACTGACTAGACCTCGACATACCGAGTGGGACTTCCTTTATTGGGGTCTCGGAAACTCCCAACGCGTCGAGGTCCAGTCAGTGGTCGATGCACGTGTGCCTGTACGTGTAAGTCGTGACACCATCAGCAGCGATCCACCGTTTGGTATCCATGGGCGACAAGGAGGTTTTGTTGAGAGTGATGCCATAGATGTTGTGTTTATCGCTTCTCAACGCATTCATGGGGTGTTTGAACGTGCCTTTATCGAAGAGAGCCTGTTTGAAGAGGGTGTGCTTGATGTGGTGTTTCACCACGTATTTCTTCACCCCTTTGGCTTTTCTGATTTCTCCGTCATCAGCTTTCTGGATAGAATACATCTTGGGTCTCAAGCCGATGTACTCCGCGATTGGCATGCCAGCGCATTCGTCCTTCGTCTTGCCGAGTACTTTCTTGTTGACTTGGCTGTGCATGGGGTGGTCCTTGGGGTAGTCGCTGGTGTCGAACAGACGCATGTTTTTCTCTATGTCCTCGAACAGGTCCTCTGTATGGATTTCCATCAGCAGCAAATCGGTGTCCTTGTACAGCACCTCGCATCGATCCCCGTACTGCTTCTTCAGCTCGTTGTAATAGAAATCGTACATCAAGTGTTTGGATAAGTCGAGGATGCACATCCCCACGTAGATGGGCCGGTTGAATATGATGTGCAGCACTGCCAGGTCATTGCCAAAGAGTTTGCTTCGGTTGAACGCAGGGCAGGCTATGAGTGTTTCTTCCTCGCTGGATCTGACTAGCTTCACGTTCATGTGTTTTTTCTCAGGTTCTCCATCGTCTTACCAAACAGTTGTTCATGAGCTTCTAGAGGTTCTTCTCGAAATCGCTGGTGGCCAGCTTTCGCAGGTCAGTGTTCATTCTGATGTAGGGTTCCATCCACGGACTTTGATTGAACTTGAGCACGTGGTGAATTTTGGTCAGCTTGATGCCCAGTGACAGGTACAGCTGCAAGTTACGATAGTGGACGATGTACTTGGTCTTGTTCATCAATTTCGGGTCGAGTTTTTCGACGTAAGCCAGTTTATTGGCCCCCCCAGCAAGTTTCGTTGATATTCTGACATCCAGTTTCGGTTCACCATTAATCGTTCAGGAGCCAGGGGATAGCTGTTGTGCGATTAGTGTAATTCTGCAGGCAGCACAATACTTCTAAAGTATAGAAACAGGATTGTCATGTTTTCTCAAACCTTCGAAGTTCCAGCTCAGGATGTTTACATTGTTGTCACTCGAGACGACGTTCAGGCTTCGGCCATTTCCCTTGCTTGTACTTGGAGTGACCTCCCTTTCCTCAACACTACTTCCGCGTTCAGATGTAAACAAAGCACCACGTGCGTTAGTTGTCACTGCATCTCTGTATGGAGTAGGGGATCCACGCGACGGTTGGGGAGGGTCTGATCGCCGTCCTCACACACACCCAATGTCGTCCTTCACACGATCGTACATGTAGGTTGATCCGTCAATAATCAGCTTATTTTGCCTCATCTCCACATTCTTGGTGTCGTCCCGGGCCTTGACAAACCAAGGCGAGAATGATCGTCTGTCCTCTCGTACCCGCTGTGTGAAATCCTCGGTCACTCGCTGATTACCATCTCTTCCCAGAATGTCTCTAGCTTTCTTGAACACTGTTGATCTTTCACTAGTTTTCAGAAACTTCGCTATTACTGGCGATCGTGAGTTTCTGGGGTTGATTCGGTGCGCTCTCGCAATCAACACTGTCTCACCGTCGCAACCCATATGTAAAGTCATCGACATGAACCCACGCACTTTCTCTTCTGACTGCTCCCAAGTTTCACCCGCTGATCCTGGTAAACCATGGAACACATGATTATCACGCCGACTTCTCATTTCCAAATCATCAACTTTATCTTCCAATTCCTTCAGTTTTTAGTTCAGCTCACTGTTTTCACAACGTAGGCTATTCAAATGGGTGCTGAAATCGGACGCCATCTTGTCGACTTTGTTATCTATCGATTCGAAACTCTTGTTCAGTGTCTTTAAATCAAATTGGATATCTTTAGGCAGTTTAATTGCATCAACGTTTACCTCTAATCCGACTGAACCGTCTCTGTCTGAAGTGAGGGTTTGTTGCCTCGCAGCTGTGCCTGGATTCATCTTGACTGATCTGCTTGTCACGGGCAAAGTGCTTAGTAGTAGCAAAAGTTTCAATTGCAAGGAAATCGAACATTTATCAAGTGAAATTCCGCATAGTGACCATTTTGCTTTGTTTGGATAAATAATAGTACTTATTTTAGCCCGATATTGAGCTAGACAGATACCCATTTTCTCTCAGCGCTTGAAACACGTCTTTTCTTTGCTTGCTCATGCGCTGTATTCCACACGGTAACAAGCGCTCTTAACAGGTGAAAAAGAACTGAAGTTAGAGCCCCTCACTTGTCAATGAGAACTGAAGCTAGATCCCTTCACATGTCAATAACAACAGAAGCTAGAACCCCTCACATGTCAATGAGGACTAAAGCTAGAGCCCCCCACAGGTCAATGAAGACTGAAGCTTGAGCCCCTCAAAGGGCAGTGAAGACTGAAGCTAGAGCCTCTCACAGGTCAATGAAGACTGAAGCTTGAGCCGATCACAGGTCAATGGGGACTGAAGCTAGAGCCCCTCACAGGTCAATGGGGACTGAAGCTAGAGCCCCTCACATGTCAATGACAACTGAAGCTAGAGCCCCTCACATGCCAATGAGGACTGAAGCTAGAGCCCTTCAGAGGTTAAAGAAGACTGAAGCTAGAGCCCCTCACATGTCAATGATGGCAGAAGCTAGAGCCCCTCAGAGGTCGAAGAGGACGGAAGCTAGAGTCCCTCACAGGGCAGTGAGGAGTGAAGCTAGAGCCCCTCACAGGTCAATGGGGGATGAAGCTAGAGCCCCTCACAGGTCAATGAGGACTGAAGCTAAAGCCTCTCACAGGTCACTGAGAACTGAAGTTAGAACCCCTCACAGGTCAATGAGGACTGAAGCTAGAGATCCTCACATGTCAATGAGGACTGAAGCTAGAGCCCCTCACAGGTCAATGAAGACTGACACTAGAACCTCTAACAGGGCAATGAGGACTGAAGCTAGAGCCCCTCACAGGTCAATCAGGAGTGAAGCTAGAGCCCCTCACATGTCAATGACGACTGATCCTAGAACGCCTCACATGTCAATGAAGACTGAAGCTAGAGCATCTCACAGGTCAACGAGAACCGAAGCTAGAGCCCCTCACCTGTCAATGAGGAAAGAAGCTAGAGCCCCTCACATGTCAATGACAACTGAAGCTAGAGCCCCTTACTTGCCAATGAGGACAGAAGCTAGAGCCCCTGAGAGGTCAAAGAGGACTGGAGCTAGAGCCCCTGAGAGGTCAAAGAGGACGGAAGCTAGAGCCCCTCACATGCCAATGAGGAAAGAAGCTAGAGCCCCTGAGAGGTCAAAGAGGACTGAAGCTAGAGTCCCCCACAGGGCAGTGAAGACTGAAGTTGGAGCATCTCAAAGGTCAACGAGGACTGAAGCTAAGCCAATCACATGTCAAAGAGGACTGAGGCTTGATCCCCTCACAGGACAATGAAGACTGAAGTTGGAGCATCTCACAGGTCAATGGGAACCGAAGCTAGATGTCAATGGGGACAGAAGCTAGAGCCCCTCAGAGGTCAAAGAGGACTGAAGCTGGAGCCCCTCACATGTCAATGAGAACTAAATCTAGAGCCCCTCACAGGTCAATGAAGACTGACACTAGAACCGCTAACAGGGCAATGAGGACTGAAGCTAGAGCCCCTCACAGGTCAATGAGGAGTGAAGCTAGAGCCCCTCACAGGTCAATGAGGACTGAAGGTAAAGCCTCTCACAGGTCACTGAGAACTGAAGCTAGAGACCCTCACATGTCAATGAGGACAGAAGCTAGAACCCCTCAGAGGTCAAAGAGGACTGAAGCTAGAGCCCCTTATGGTTCAATGAGGAATGACGCTAGAACCGCTCACAGGACAATGAGGACTGAAGCTAAAGCCTCTCACAGGTCAGTGAGAACTGAAGCTAGAGACCCTCACAGGTCAATGAGGACAGAAGCTAGAGCCCCTCAGAGGTCAAAGAGGACTGAAGCTAGAGCCCCTTATGGTTCAATGAGGAATGACGCTAGAACCGCTCACAGGACAATGAGGACTGAAGCTAAAGCCTCTCACAGGTCAGTGAGAACTGAAGCTAGAACCCCTCACAGGTCAATGAGGACTGAAGCTAGAGACACTCACATGTCAGTGAGGACAGAAACTAGATCCGCTATAAGGTCAATGACGACTGAAGCTAAAGCCCCTCACATGTCAGTGAGGAGGACTGAAGCTGACAACTGAAGCTCCCCTCACAGGCTACAATCAAAGAGGACTGAAGAGCCCCTTGGAGGACATCCCCCTCACAGGCCAATGAGGAACCCCTGAGAGCTCAGATGTCAAGCTGAGGGACAGAAGCTAGAGCCCCTCAGAGGTCAAAGTCAGGACTTGATCCCCTGGACAATGCTGGAGCCCCTCACATGATGTCAATGAGGAACTAGAAGAGGTCTAGAGCCCTAGAGCCCCTCACAGGTCAATGAAGACTGACACTAGAACCGCTAACAGGGCAATGAGGACTGAAACAGGGCAATGAGGACTGAAGCTAGAGCCCCTATCCCCTCACAAAGAGGACTGAAGGTCAATGAGGACTGAAGCTAGAGCCCGACTCACACATGGTCAATGAGGACTGAAGCTAAAGCCTCTCACAGGTCACTGAGAACTGAAGCTGGAGAGACATGTCTCTACCCTCACAGGTCAATGAGAACCGAAGCTAGGGCCCCTCACATGTCAATGAGGACTAGCTATGTCAATGGGGACAGAAGCTAGAGCCCCTCAGAGGTCAAAGAGGACTGAAGCTGGAGCCCCTCACATGTCAATGAGAACTGAATCTAGAGCCCCTCACAGGTCAATGAAGACTGACACTAGAACCGCTAACAGGGCAATGAGGACTGAAGCTAGAGCCCCTCACAGGTCAATGAGGAGTGAAGCTAGAGCCCCTCACAGGTCAATGAGGACTGAAGCTAAAGCCTCTCACAGGTCACTGAGAACTGAGCCCCTCAGAGGTCAAAGAGGACTAGAGACATGTCAATGAGAACTCACACATGTCAATGAGGACAGAAGCTAGAGCCCCTCAGAGGTCAAAGAGGACTGAAGCTAGAACCCCTCACAGGTCAATGAGGACTGAAGCTAGAGACCCTCACATGTCAGTGAGGACAGAAACTAGATCCGCTATAAGGTCAATGACGACTGAAGCTAAAGCCCCTCACATGTCAGTGAGGATTTACGTTAGAGCCCCTCACAGGTCAATGATGAGTGAAGCTAGAGCCCCTCACAGGTCAATGGGGGATGAAGCTAGAGCCCCTCACAGGTCAATGAGGACTGAAGCTAAAGCCTCTCACAGGTCACTGAGAACTGAAGTTAGAACCCCTCACAGGTCAATGAGGACTGAAGCTAGAGATCCTCACATGTCAACGAGGACTGAAGCTAGAAACCCTCACAGGTCAATGAGAACCGAAGCTAGGGCCCCTCACATGTCAATGAGGACTGAAGCTAGAGCCCCTCACAGGTCAATGAGGACTGAAGCTAGAACCCCTCACAGGTCAATGAGAGCCGAAGCTAGAGCCCCTCACATGTCAATGAGGACTGAAGCTAGAGCCCCTCACAGGTCAATGAGGACTGAAGCTAGAACCCTGAAGGTCAGCTCCCATCAAGTCAATCGAGGACTGAGACTTGACCCCCTCACAGGTCAATGGGGACTGAAGCTAAGCCCATCACAGGTCAATGAGGACTGAAGCTAGAGCCCCTCACAGGTCAATGGGGACTGAAGCTAAGCCCATCACAGGTCAATGAGGACTGAAGCTAGAGACCCTCACAAGTCAATGAAGACTGAAGCTAGAGCCCCTCACATGTCAATGACGACTGATCCTAGAACGCCTCACATGTCAATGAAGACTGAAGCTAGAGCATCTCACAGGTCAATGAGAACCGAAGCTAGAGCCCCTCACCTGTCAATGAGGAATGAAGCTAGAGCCCCTCACATGTCAATGACAACTGAAGCTAGAGCCCCTTACTTGCCAATGAGGACAGAAGCTAGAGCCCCTGAGAGGTCAAAGAGGACTGGAGCTAGAGCCCCTGAGAGGTCAAAGAGGACTGATGCTAGAGCCCCTCACATGCCAATGAGGAAAGAAGCTAGAGCCCCTGAGAGGTCAAAGAGGACTGAAGCTAGAGTCCCCCACAGGGCAGTGAAGACTGAAGTTGGAGCATCTCAAAGGTCAACGAGGACTGAAGCTAAGCCAATCACATGTCAAAGAGGACTGAAGCTTGATCCCCTCACAGGACAATGAAGACTGAAGTTGGAGCATCTCACAGGTCAATGGGAACCGAAGCTAGATGTCAATGGGGACAGAAGCTAGAGCCCCTCAGAGGTCAAAGAGGACTGAAGCTGGATCCCCTCACATGTCAATGAGAACTAAAGCTAGAGCCCCTCACAGGTCAATGAAGACTGACACTAGAACCGCTAACAGGGCAATGAGGACTGAAGCTAGAGCCCCTCACAGGTCAATGAGGAGTGAAGCTAAAGCCCCTCACAGGTCAATGGGGGATGAAGCTAGAGCCCCTCACAGGTCAATGAGGACTGAAGCTAAAGCATCTCACAGGTCACTGAGAACTGAAGTTAGAACCCCTCACAGGTCAATGAGGACTGAAGCTAGAGATCCTCACATGTCAATGAGGACTGAAGCTAGAGCCCCTCACAGGTCAATGAAGACTGACACTAGAACCGCTAACAGGGCAATGAGGACTGAAGCTAGAGCCCCTCACAGGTCAATGAGGACTGAAGCTAAAGCTCCTCACATGTCAATGGGGGATGAAGCTAGAGCCCCTCACAGGGCAATGAGGACTGAAGCTAAAGCCTCTCACAGGTCACTGAGAACTGAAGTTAGAACCCCTCACATGTCAATGAGGACTGAAGCTAGATACCCTCACATGTCAACGAGGACTGAAGCTAGAGCCCCTCACAGGTCAATGAAGACTGACACTAGAACCGCTAACAGGGCAATGAGGACTGAAGCTAGAGCCCCTCACAGGTCAATAAGGACTGAAGCTATAGCATCCATCCCGACAGAAGCTTATCCAGTAGCTCAACCCGTACCCGTACCCGTACCCTAACAAAAATTCCTCCTGAGACACCATCTGAAACGTCTAAGAAACAACCCCACACCGTTCTTTGGCAAAAAAAGAAAGGAAAGAAATTAGATATGAAACTGTCAAATATTGACCCTTCACCTTCAGAGGTTCCACCCGAGAACCCATGTGGACCTCCAGTCACATAGTTTACCCTGTTGTCACAGGACAGGCGGAGGAATAGTTCCTCCTCGAATGCACAAGAGCGATCGCCAGTTGGCCAAAATTATTCAGTGGAATTGCAGAGAAATGAAGAATAACTTCAACGAATTACAATTATTAATACAGGATTTTCATCCGTCAGCATTTTGCCTTCTAGAAACATACCGAAAAAATACATATACATTTAACTTAAGACAGACCACCGATTACCCTTCTTTTTCTCCTCTTGGAGATAAAGCAACTGGGGTTGATTCATCAATCTACTTACATCCAGCAAGGTGATGATCCACCTTTATCAAAAAAGAACTTCGTCAGGGCTGATTGGTCATTATATGAGGCTCTGTGTGCTGCACATTTAAAACACGATGTTTTTGAGAACAGCGAAGATCCGATACAGTTATTTTCAAATATTCTTAACAACATTGCTGACCAAACTATACAAAAGTCCTCTGGAATTCCAGATATTCGTAAGCCATTATTCGTGGTTCAATAATGAGTGTAAACAGGCCAGAAAGTGTAGAAAGAAAGACGAAAAGTATCTTCAGCGACATCCTACAGTCTGTAATTTAGATAAGGTAAAATTTAAATGCCAAGGCTCGACGTTATTTTAATCAGAATAAGCGTCAGTTTTGGCGAAACTATGTTTCACGCAACCGATGTCAAAGGTGTGGGACATGATGCAAAGGATAAAGGGTGAAGGTTCTAAGTCTACTGTCCACCGTCTGAAGAATGGTGACAAGTTATTGACGGACATCCAGTAGGCTTGGTGGAACTCTCGCCAACTATTCGTCTTCATCCAATTATTTCCCTGAGTTTCAGAAATACCAGAAACAACAGGAGAAGAAAATAATTAATTTCATCTCGGACAATGGTAAAGACTATCAGCTCATGAAGCATTTACCTGAATCATGTTTGGAAACAATTCCCAAGTTCATGACATGTAGGAATAAGAATCAAATCTTTCCTCTGTACTGCTGGCATTGAGCTAGGTAATCTATCCTTCCCGTCTGCTTTTTTCTCCTCCTTGGCAATTAGTGATAGCATCTCTATTTTTACAGCTGAAGCAAACGCCATACTAATGGACTTAGCTATATTAATAAATACCCAAAATATAAACAATATATCGTCTTTTCAGATTCCCTTTTGTGCATTGAGACTATTAAAAATAGTTCTTGTATTTACAGATGGATCCAAGGATGGTGGCGCAGTGGCTTGTGCCACTGTCACTGGATCCAGAACAATATTTTTTAGATAACCAGGCGATAGTTCTATATTCACAGCAGAAACAAATGTCATATTAACTGCGCTTAAATATATTCAAAAACTTCCTAAATACAAACAATATATATTTTTTCTGACTCTCTTTCTTGCCTTCAGGCTATTAAAATCTTAGCTTGTAAACATCCACTTTTAATTGAAATTATTGAATTGAATAATGATCTTGCTGCTGGCCAATGTGACATCGTCATCTGTTGGTTACCCAGCCACGTTGGAAAATCTGGTAACACAATGGCCAACTTTGCTGCTAAGGCAGCAATAAAGAAATCTGATACACGACTTCTGATCCCATACTCTCATTACATCTCTAGGTCGTATATCCGTGATCTGATACACGACTTCTGATCCCATACTCTCATTACATCTCTAGGTCGTATATCCGTGATCTGATACACGACTTCTGATCCCATACTCTCATTACATCTTTAGGTCGTATATCCGTGATCTGATACACGACTTCTGATCCCATACTCTCATTACATCTTTAGGTCGTATATCCGTGATCTGATACACGACTTCTGATCCCATACTCTCATTACATCTTTAGGTCGTATATCCGTGATCTGATACACGACTTCTGATCCCATACTCTCATTACATCTTTAGGTCGTATATCCGTGATCTGATACACGACTTCTGATCCCATACTCATTACATCTTTAGGTCGTATTCCGTGATCATCTTCTGATCCCATACTCTCATTACATCTTTAGGTCGTATATCCGTGATCTGATACACGACTTCTGATCCCATACTCTCATTACATCTTTAGGTCGTATATCCGTGATCTGATACACGACTTCTGATCCCATACTCTCATTACATCTTTAGGTCGTATATCCGTGATCTGATCACGACTGATCCCATATTACATCTTTAGGTCGTATATCCGTGATCTGATACACGACTTCTGATCCCATACTCTCATTACATCTTTAGGTCGTATATCCGTGATCTGTTACACGACTTCTGATCCCATACTCTCATTACATCTTTAGGTCGTATATCCGTGATCTGTTACCCGACTTCTGATCCCATACTCTCATTACATCTTTAGGTCGTATATCCGTGATCTGATACAAAAGAAGTGGGTATTAATAAATTACATGAAATAAAAGGCTTTATAGGTTATACATACTTGGAATGTCAGTCCAGATGTCAAGAAGTAAGCATGCGACGATGTCTCATTGGCCATACACTCCTGAATACCTGTAAAAGGTGAGGATGCTCCATTTTGTATCTTTTGTGAAGAAAGAATCACGGTCAAGCATGTCCTTCTTGACTGTATTGATTTTTCCATCACAAGGGGTAAATATTTCAATGTTTAACCTGTTAAGGATCTTTTTAAGAATGTTGATTATAATTTTATTATCGATTTTTTCACGAGAAATTCAACTGACTGATAATGTTGAGTCATATGTTTCACAGAGAGCTGTATTTTTTATAATTAGAAGTTACTTATAATCAGTA